AATTAAGTGGTTAGGGCATTGGTTAGTAATTCTTTCTCAAATAACAAAACTACTCTATACATGAAATTTACAAGCAATGACCAATAGAGACTATAGATATATTGCAAGCATATAGTGTTCTCAAATCATCGCAGCACCTACTGGAATACTCATATTGGTTGATTAAAATGTGGTTAACTATATACATAAATACTTAAAGTTCAGGTACAATACATAGAGCTTATAACTAGTTATTTGTCGTTGGATGCTCTGAATTGATAACTGTTAAGTAAAGACAATATCGTGCAGGATGCATATTTATTTTTATGAAAACTTTTATTTCTTTTTATTTACTCATATTCGTTGATTAAAATGTGGTTACCTATATACATAAATACGTAAAGTTCAGGTACAATACATAGAACGTGTAACTAGTTATTTGTCCTTGGATGCTATGAATTGATAATTGTTAAGTAAAGACAATCTCGTGCAGGATGCATATTTATTTTTATGAAAACTTTTATTTCTTTTTATTCCTTTCAAAAAAAATTATTTTCTGTTTATTTCCAAATCATATTTATTTCCTTTTAAATATTTTTTGTCTACTACCATCTTCCTTCATATTCTACATTCGCAAAACAATAGTGGACTCGAAAACCTAAAATGACAGAATATGGCGAGGTGATTGACCTATACTTTAAAAAAACTAACAAACATAAAATATTACAGAGAAACAAAATGTTTTGAAGTATAAAAGGAAAGAAAAATTATTTGGAAATAAATATCATGAATAAAAGGAAGTAGAAACTTTTAAAGATGAACATAGCTTACATGGTATCCCTCAAACAAATTGAGAAATACTCAATATATTTTCTAACAAATTTGAATGAGAAGATATGTTTTTTAGATTAGATTTCATTTTTTTAACAAAAGATTTTTTTTAATTAAATTCTAATTTAAAACTTATAAAGTTTGACATTTTCCCTGAAAGAAATTTTAGCTACTTGCAAATTACATGTTCTAGTGAGAAAAGTAGGGGTGCCAAACCGTATCCGTATCCGAGGAAATATCCGTAACCGTATCCGTTAGGATACGAATATGGTTACTCAAATCTATTACCGATAGGATATAGTTGCGGATATGGTTTTGTAGTGAAATATCCGTATCCGTATCCGAAAAAATCCGAATACATATTGGTAAAACTCTTACGATAGTTTCGATTCTTAGATTATGAATTTGTAGTTAATTTTGATGATCAAGATGTCTAATCTTAGCTTTTCAATCATAATGAACATATTAACGAACTCTTTTTGTATCACATGACTATATTTTTCTGAATACTATCTAGTTTTCTCATATCTTTTTTGTATCCGCATGCATATCCGTTTATATATCCGCATCTATATCCGTAACCGTATCCGATTTTGGCGGATATGGATATGAATTTTTCTTACCGACGTATATCCGTATCCGTATCCGTATCCGTATCCGAGATGGGTAAGCGGATATGGATATGGTAAGTGTCATATCCGAGCCGTATCCGCTCCGTTAACACCCTTAGAGAAAAGTTTAAAAGTTTAGAGAGTTTTGTTAAACACCGCAAAATTCTGGGGGATTATGTGACATAAATAGAGTCTAAGAGAGCTATATAAAAATACACATCAAAGTTTAGAGTGTTATGTGAAATTAACCTTTCTTCATTAATAGGTGTTTGAAGCATTTCTACTTTTGAAAACTATTGAAGAAACTCCAAACGAATCTCTCAGGCCTTGACTTGACTTGACTTGCCAACCGAGCGGGTTTCCCAATTAAAAAAAGACTTGCGATTTTGCATAGTTACACTAAACTTTTTAATATTTGCATCTTTACCCTATTAATCTTGGTTTTCA